TCTGCAATTAAGTGATAGTTTAGCTTTAGTATAGTAATATGTATTGTACTACTGTTTTCCAAAATTGGATGAATAAATGCAACTCTTGCAGTTTGATTAGAGACAAAAAAAAAAAAAAAAAAGAATTATAACTAGGTATCAACAATTCTAATTATAGTCTAATATTTAAGCAATAAGATAAAAAAAGTATTTAGATTAATTATATAATCAAGTCTCTTTTTTAAAAATATTAAATCTAAATAGATTAGTAGTAATAGAATTTTTATTTCTATAAATTTGCTTCTTAATATCACAGTAGATAATATTACAGATGTTAAACTCCAAAATACTAAAATATTAAAGTAGGCAAATGGGTATTAAACTGTACTATATACAGTATATAATAAATGATGGCATCTACTGCCCGTTCTACTATAAAAAAAAAATTATAAAAAAAAATAATAATATAAGATCATATTTATACCTAAGATGGCAATAAGTCACATAGTGGAAACTAGTATAATATCCAAATGGCAAAATGTAATCACATGTACAGACTATCAGTAAATCTTTCTATGTTGGACGCATGTAACGTGTAACAGACAAATTCTTGCCTAATGCGGTTCGGCTAGATGCACTCGAATAAATAGCGCGAAGTATTTACATAAGCTGGCCTCGCGATTTTCTCAGAACACGATCAGTTATCTACCGAACGAAATTTCACGCGGATTTGTGACTTGACAAAATGTTTTATTCCGAGGCGATTTTGTCAAAAAAGGTACCTTGAACTAATGTTTTAGACTGAAAGCTCGTTTTCCTTACATTGTTTTGTTTAAAAAGGGTCCGCTCGCTAGAGTGTGGTTGGCGGCGCACTGGGAACGAAAATTGAGTAAGACTCAATTTCTGCAGACAAATATTCAATTCTCCGTAGGTGCGTGCATTTTTCGCTCATTATTCATTTACCTCTGTTTCGATTCTTCTGCTAAAAGATCAGTTTTATTCTTCCGCTGTTTTTAAAAGGTGCTATCCTAAAACAAGACCAACAACCTATGGCTTTGAGATTATCAGGGCAATTACTATTAGGTGTTGTCCGTATTTATTCACGAAAAGCAAAATATTTGCTGGAAGATTGTACTGAGGCCCTTAATAAAATCAAATTGGTAAACTTGTATTTTATCAAATAGTAGTGTTCACAGGAGCTTATAGTTGACGTGTTTCTTTGTACGAAGGCATTTAGACAAGGTGAAGTTGATATACCTGAAGATCAACGAATCGCTAATTTTGAGTCTATCACTTTGCCCGACAAAATCACGGAGTTTGATATTTTGTTACCAGATCCTGGCTTAAATCTCAAGTAGTTAAAATTTTTTAAAAAACTTTTTTCATTTTTGCTCGATGTAATAAATATATACATTCATATATCTATTTTTTTTTAAAAAAACAGGCAATGGACCGAAGTGAGTTCGGTTACCGTAACAAGTTCTAATATTTCTCGACCACAAGACATAACTATTAGAGACGATTTTGATATTTCATTAAATTTAAATATTGGGGAAGACCTATTAGGTGAAGCTTTTGATACGGAGGATGGAAGGGGTCTTGACTTAGATTTAGAAGATGATATAGACCCCAAAACGACCGGAGCTGATGATAAATCTGATAGTCATGCCGGTGAAGAAGGCTCAGTGGACATTGAAATTGCAAGGGATGCCCCACTAGACATTCCAATTTCCATGGAGGATGTTATTGGTAAAGGTGTGGTGGATAATGATCCATTAATGGTGACAGATGATGGGCCCGAACTTGACCTCTTACTTGACGAATCGTTGGATGTACCGATATTAGACAACGAGGTGCCAATATTAGAAAACGACGTACCGATGTTAGAAAGCGACATGCAAATGTTGGCTAATGATGTGCAAGTTCTAGAAGAGGGGCAAGAGGAAAGGCTAGAAATAGAATTAAGCCAAGATGATGACCTAAATTTAGATATGAATGTCAATATGGACATGAATATTGATCCGGCTGATTTAATCCTAAGTGAAACTATGTAAGTTATGAAATTATTCGATATACAATGTCCAAGTGGTAAATTTTATTTATTGCTCCTTATACGTTAGGGTGCAAGAAGAAATGTTACCAGAAACACAAAGGCTAACTCCTTCGTCACCCCTTAGCCCCGAAAGACATGGTAGGTTGTTATTTACGTTTTTTGGTTCCTTTTCGGAAATCTAACGATTCTCGTTATGTAGAAAATTTATTTCAAGATCAGGAAGTTGAGCAACTTGTAACACAAACTCGTAGAAAACGTAAATTAATGGAAGACGAATTGACCGAACTACCGACTAGTCATATCGCAAGTCAAATTAAGGACAGATCAGACATTACAATTGAGGTAAGACTTTAACAATAAACTTGTTACTATAGTTATTTGATTGACTTTAATTTCTTTTTATTTATTATTACAATTTTAGCCTACATTCCTTCCATTTTCGCGCAAATTGCTTCGAATAGGAGAGATTCGTAGAATGGGAGCATCATACTATCTCGATCTGCGCGTCCCACATAATATTTCACCTGAATTTCAGCACCTATTTGCTAGAAAACGACAGCGCTTTACCCCGCCCCCTGATAATCAAGACGAAGAAGTTCAAGCCGGTCCATCAAAAAGTGATCTCCCTCTTGAAGAAGAGCACTTTGAAATCAATATTAATAATGAAAACTTCGTATGTAACATTCTTTCAATTTTGCATGTATGTTTATTAATGTAAAACTTACAAAAATAATTTATTTCGCAGGACATTTTAGATTCGACAGAAACACACGACAATCTCATCACTGAAGGTATATATACATAAATAAGTTTTTGTTTTTACCTAGGATTCTGATTTTATGTAATCCTTTGACTACAGAATTAGCACAGGATATTGTAATAACCGATGAGGCTGGTCAGGAAGAAACTCCTGAGAAAATCGACAAGGGAAAGGGTCCCAAAAAAACCGATAAAGATAAGGGTCAGGAAAAAAGTAAGGAGAAAACCCTTCAAGATAATCTATCCATTCCAGAACAAGAACTAGTTACTCCAACAGAACATACTCCAGAACATGATGTCGATGTCGACTTTGACATGGTATTATGGACTTGTTAATTTGGGGGTTTTTTTTAAATACTATCTGCGAATGTTAACATTTAATTTGACCCTAGATATCGCATCACGAATATGACGCGTCTGAAGATGTGTTAACCCCTGACGATGAAGGTAAATATAGGATTGCAAAATTCAATGTAACCTTTTATATTTATTATTGCATGTATGCATATTGCAACAAGACCAACCGTCCCCATCGGGAATAACGATTTTCGATCAAGAAGAAACGCAAGAGCAACAGAACGCGGAAACGACATTCAGTAAAAATACAATTAAAGCTATGCGTCTACTGAGAAATAAATGCCGCGAGGAAATAGGAGAACAAATCATAGAAGGGTCTGATATCTCGAGAACGGCTGCTGTAAGCTACGATTCGGTTGTCGGGACGGTAATGTGTTTACTAAAAAGTTATTAGCAGTTTATGCATCAGTGTGGCCGATTTGAACTTTTATTATTTAAATTTAGGCTAAGCGACAAGATGCTGTTAAATTGTTTTTCGAATTATTGGTTTTAAATACCAAGGACGTCATTCGCGTTCGGCAAAAAGAACCTTATGGTGATATCGAAATCATATGCAAGGTAAGACGAGCGATTGGTTTTTTTATTACCTCATCTATAAAGATTTAAATTTAATTTCATCTCCCTCCAGAATAAATTGTTCGATATGCTTGAAGACGTTCCAGCATAGACGTATTTCTAAATAAGGTCTTCGTTGAAGGAAATAACAATTGAATTCTTGGGTTTATTTTTTCTGTTTCCTTTTGAATGAATGTTTGTTTATGATATGAATCAGAAAATATGCATCTTTGACACAATTCCATTTTTTGATTTTAAATATATAAAACAAAACTGAAACTATTTGCTTCCATTTACAATTGAAAATTTTTATGAAATGGAATGTATAGCCAGGAGCATTACAATTACTAATTCTTTATTTCTTTTTTAGGTTTTTATCGTTTTTAAAATAATAATAATAAGATTATGTTGAAAATTACAATTTATCAAAAAATATTTATTTTTTATATTATTTTTTTTAAGTACTAAAGTGTGATACACAAGATTTTTTTTATAAATCAGTGAAAATTACAAATATTTCATTACATAAACAGTTTATTAATTTTTTTTTTTTTTTTTTTTTTTTTTTTTTTAAGATGGAAATGCGATGCATCACAAGGTTTTTATTATATGACAGATCAATTACATAACAATTATTTATATTACATATATCACTTTATACAACAATGAAG